TAAAGTTCAATATGAGCGTATAAATCAATAATCTAATTTAAAAAAAGTAAAGCAATAGCCGTCGATCGAAGTTCATTAACTGTCTAATGAAAAGTGGAATAGTGCTAAGTGAAAGTACTCTATCATATGTAAAATAAAATATATTTTTGCGAAAAAAAAAAAGAAAACCTGGATTACACAGGTCTCCCAGAGATAGTGCGAAAAAATTTTTTTTTTTATCGTAGGCCCTATTTATAACAACTTTCAACGGTCTCTATCCCCCTAGTCCCTGTTGAGGTACGATTTTTTGTTTTTTTCTGTTTTGTTTTGTTGTGTACTATCACCCAATTTTTTCGCACTATTTCTGCGCCCTCTGAATCTATAATGCGATCTTCGGATGAATTTGTAAAAAGTTGAAAAAAATATGAATATAATGATATTGTTGGGCATTTTTAAAATATGATTGATTTTCATACTAAGTTTACAACTTTACAGATTAGATTTACATACAAAGCTTTTGAAATACCTAGACACTAATTTCTGTTAATTTTTAATATACCAAGACTCTGATATCTGGGTGAAAGAGCCCAATTTATTTGTGTTTAAAACGAGTTCTCTAGAACAATTCAAGTTCGAAATTCCTGTTTCGTAAAATTTTTGGCAAAACGGGAAATATTTCTCTTACGACGACATGTTAAATCCATAAACTATGTTGCGTCTACTAAACAAATTCTCTGATTTGCGCGAAAAAGCGAGGCTCAGCGGAGTCTACAAACTTTACGATAATTTCACCTATTAAATTAATTAAACTACAGATGGGAAAATGAAACATGTACGGTTATTTTTAATTAAGCGCAATTATAAATTGACAAATTGTAACTCAGGCATTTTTGTAAAAATTGGTAAAAGGGATTGATTTTTAATAATAATATTTACATATAACAATTATTGAATAATTTATGTTTGTATATTTACTACATTTTAGCCTGTCAGACGCGTTTCACCATTGCCAGGATATGCAGACCAGGATGATCGAAAACGACTAAACTACTGGTTTATCACCCCGCAGTCTTCATCAGACATTTGTTGTGTTTGATTTTTGAACTGTTTATTGCTTTGTGTTGCTTGTTACTATCGAATCGAATTATATTTTCCCATAAATTTTGGTTATGCAATGTAAGACTATGGTCCTATATGTAGCTTATGGTTCGCTAATTTGATTTGTCAGATATGTTACTGCACTTCGCCATATACAGTCAGACCAGTGAGGTCGTTTTACTTCTTATCAATTTCACGATAAATGTCATTTTGTGTGAGTAAACCAGAACATCTATCTAGTTTTCGAATAAAAAATCATGTTTGTATGAGTTGTTTATTACTTTTGAGCGATTATGTTGGTTTCCTTAATTTTTAGTTATGCTTTTGGACGACAATAGTGGAAATAAGAGAAAAAACAACCGCCACCTTTTTGGACATCAAACGTTCGCCCAGCCGGGTAATAAACAATTATTAAACATTTCAGTGTATTAAGAGCGACTTCGAAAACAGTCCTACGGTATACGCCTCCCCCTTCGTAAGCACGACCACAAATCCTCCCCTCTTTTCGCTGTTCCAGACTTGAATGGTTTCACAAAGACCTTTCATCCCCCTTTGTTAACGACAATGTTAATGTCGATATAAAAATTCCTCCCCCTGTCCTTACCCTCGCCCCGATCAACCGGCTGCTTCAGGCCTAAGACTTCATAACGCATGGAGAAAAAAAAGAGATTCCAATTTTCAAACGATTTGGTGAAAAACTCTTTGACACAGAGGATCGGATGGATCGGAGTAAGCGACCTCTTTCGTACGAAAGAAATAATTCGATTAGAATATTTATGGAATGGTCGAATTGAAAGGGGGTTCATGGTTGGAAAGATTCACGTCCAACAGTCGAGAAAAGCATTCAACCTTCCACCACCTACCAAGTTGCAAATCAAATATGAAATCTTGGGAAGTCTATTTTTTTCGTCAATTCAATTCAAAATCTACTCATTTGCCTTGACTTTTTTAAAATATTAACAAATTATATATCAAAACATACACCTTAAATATAAAACAAGATTTTTTTTAAAAATCGGTGATAAGTCAATTTGGGAGAAAAGAAAAACACTAGGTTCCTCCCTCACGTTTTGGATCGGGACTTTAAAACTATTATTAATAATTCACAAGGTTAACAAATATCTACCTACAGTAAAAAGAGATAGAGATATACTAAATTTCAGTGTTGTAAGTCATATTTGTTTATGTTTGTTCAACGTGAATTATATAATAGTTCTATCTTAAAATCTAGTTATAGTTTTATCTCAACTAAGTACCTTAATTAATTGTAATATATTAATTGGTGAAGCGGACCACGAAATAAGTGAATTATAATAGTTATATATATAGTTTATATAATAGTTTGGAAAGCTCATTTTGACAAAAGGAACTGAACGTTTTTCTTTCCTTTCAAATCTGCCTTATCCTTGATTTTTCAATGCAATATTAAATTGAAAGCTCATATCAACTCTACCGAGATATGACAAGAATATATTTTGGAATTTAGATTAATATTTCAAAACAAAATTCTTAATAATAGAATAGAATCGAAGTATAAAATCAGAAATAACAATTCAACGTCAGGAAAGATAACGTGATGAAAGTTCGAAAGTGATTTATTCGAAAACAAAATTTGAAAAAATTGTCAGGTCAAAAAAACGATTAAAAAAATTTATCACAATGTTTTATGATTTTATTGAATTACGGTGCATAAAACATCCTTATAGTACGTACAATTTATGACTTATTATTTATGACGTTAAGTCAATTAGTTAATCAATTCAGTTCATGTAAGGGTTGAGCCTCTTGTATATGTAGTCAAAAAGCAAGTAAACCAAATAATTTAATGAATTTTTTAAATGGATTCGATTGTATGCATGTTTGAAATGAGGACTTGACACACGGATTTAACACACTTCGGACAAATTATCCAACATGCTTGAGACGTACTTTTTTTCACAAGTCTAAGACAATATTACTCTGTTTCTAGTCATGGATAAATTTGGTTTGAGGTTTTTACGATATGCTCGTTTCTGGTCAGCATGGTGCGTCTTTCCTTGCTGGTTTGGTCTTTTAAACGCATTTCACCATGTTCAGTCAAACTGGCGAGGATATGCGGACCAGGATGATCAGAAAGGACCGGGTTCATCGCCCTGCAGACCTCAACAAACGTCTGTCATTTGATTAAAACGCTGTATTAACCTAACCTACGGCAAGCCGGTGTCTTTTTGATAATAATTTTTCGTATGCGCTCAATTACAGTAATGTATTCTGAAACAATAAATCGCGTTTTGAAATGAACCGGTTTACCTTATCAATACCACTTTCGGTTTTTCGCGAGGAAATTGTTTACAGGGATGAACAACCGAGTTCTCAAATTAAACATTGCCGAATTCGTGGCCGTGTTGAGTCGTTTTTCCCTCCGATGTGAAGGAAATAGGGATGAATCCGGGGGTCTTATCTAATCGGCAGAACTGACCGAACAGACGACACCTGCCCCGTTCGTGCACAGACTCTGCCTAATGAAACGGAATTTCACCACAAAAAACTACGGTTTAATTTCCTTGAATGAAACGCTATTTTCTTTTCAAATCAACGCGTTAAAGACTCTCTTGATCATAATATTTACTTATACAAATGAGACGATAGCTTTTTTTTCTAACATAGGTGTGTCTTCTCGCTTTCAGGTGTAAATTTTCTAATTTTTTTTAAATATCGCAAACGAGTGTCGAGGAATTGACTGTCTTAAAATGTAGTGTGGATTTTGATCAACCGGGATACAAGGAGGGTGGAAATTGTAATTTCATTAGCTTTTTTCCTCCCCTGTGTGAACTCGGTGAGGGTCAGCCGTCGTGCGGCTTAATTTCCTTTCATCTGCCACTTCCTGAATTTATCCCCCCCCCTACGAAAACGGGTTTTTGGCTGTTCCGAAGTGATATACGAGCTCTTTTCGGCCTGGAAGAGAATTTTTCCGAAAAAGTATCGACTGTATGAGACAAACTGACGGAAAAGAAAAAAAGAGGGTGTTAAAAACTGTATTTTGATTTTTGTTAAATAGAAAATTCAAAATTGTTAGCAAAACGCTATCTGTTGTGAAAACGGTTTTGCCAATCTGCTGAAACTCTTGTTGTTAATATGATTTTTCTCCGCTCCTGAAATTTGAAATTAATAAGCAAAACCAAAATTAACAAGATATCTAACAGTAAAATAATGAACTAGACACATTTTTACAATTAAATAACAACAGTAATGCAATATTGCTAATGCAAACAAAAAATAAACATTAAACAGTGTACTATGCAATATTGAAGGTGATTGAGAGGCAAAATTAAAACGGCTGCAGCTATAAAAACATAAAATAAAAACAGCCCAAAAAGTTGAATTGAACAAAATATAATCGAACATAAAATCGTCGTGCTATTATAATTGTACGACGTTATGACATAGATGGAATCAGAGGATTAAATCATGTGTGAAAGAGATATGAAAAACCTGTTAATTAGTTAATTTGATAGAACATAAATAATTTCTCAACGGGCATGTAAACAAAGAGAAGGGGAAACATTAATGTCAACGATTAATACGTGGCTAAAGATTATCTTTAATCCTATATTTATATTGAATATGAGAGGAGTCGGACATAAGAAATCCGCAAGACTCGAAATCAAAGGTTTACTGAATAAATAACTCCTGGGACTGTCCCACGTGTTACAGATCAATAGAGTTACGCCCCTGGACCCACGTGGGTCCTTTTGCTCTCGCTAACTATTTTAAACGAAAAAAAGATACGTTTCAATTAACTCTGTCTGTTGCACCCTCGTTGAATATTTATTTGACTACGGAATGAAATAATAATTTTTAAAGGATATACGTGTTCGTATAACATTCCATGCTTTTGAATCGGATAATTGTTTTGTTTTGGTTTGAATTTGAAAAACATTTACCTGCTAGCCTCAACGCCGACATCCTTTGAAATTCAGGCTCTTGAAGCCATTTCCACATTCGGCGAAACGTTTCTCGGCCGCTCTTGAGTTTGGACCAAGGTTTCGGGTTCCTCAATAAATCGGATAGTGTTCCTTGCGACCTACATAAGACTCGTTGAGCGAAAATGGCTTGTGGAATGCTATATCGTTTCAATTCGGCAGATATCCTTTGAGCGAGTTCTTTGGTGTTGATTTCCTCGAGCTCGTTGTTTCCTGTTCCGACAGAAGGGCATGAGGCTTGGGTGACGGTTTTCAGCGTTATCGTGGATGTCTGTTGTTGTTTAGGAGGTGATGTGGCCGTGACAACGACTGCTTCTCGTTGTACAAGGGCCGGAGGAGAATGATGAGGTGATACAACAACAGTCGGGGTCTGTGGATGAGGAGTGATTGTCGTTAAGCCGTTGAGAGAAGGCAACGAACCAGAAGTTGTAAACTGAGCGCCTACTAACGTGCTCGGAGGAGAGTGAAGTGATGCCGACGGTGGGCTCAATTGCGGACTCTGTCCACCGAGACCACCTCGGACGAGGTCCCTTTGGTTGTAAGGAGAATCGTACCCGTTGGGTGACATGCTCTTAGGAGGTGAGTTAAGGCCATTTTGACTGTAGGTACTTTGTGGTGACAAAGGAGAGTGTTGCTGTGATAATCCTATACCGGATAAATTGTTGGGCGAGTAGTGATGGGGGGACATACTCATTGAAGGTAGTTTGTCATAGCCATAAGGAGAATTGACACCCATCGAAAGTCCGAGACCGTTGTTTTGCATGACAGTAAACGATCCGTTGACACTACTCGTCGTGTGTCCGTAGGCGAATTTGTCCGACACCGTCGATATAGGAGGTAAGGGTTGCAAAGGTGTCAGTGTGGCATATGACGACCCAGGGCTGAATCCTGGTGGAGACATCCTTCCGTTTACGGACGTCAACGTCTGATAAGTCGGTTCGGGTTGTAAAGAACGAAAATCACCTGCGTCTATCATTCCTGCCACACTTACTGATATACCACTGACGGAGGACGGGGATATTTTTCCAGGACTAAGTAAACGGGAATCTCGTGAATCTTCTTGTTCGTGTGGTTGTACTATTACTGAAAGCTGTTTGCTTTCCTCGCACTCTGAAAGTTCGCCCCCACTCTCCTCTTTGACGTCTACTTCTAACTCGTCGCAAAGCACTCCTCTCCTGGCGACGACAGGACGGGAAATGTTGAGCCCGCCAGCGGACATCAAGCCATGCGTGCTTAGGCCCGCCGAATCGACCGTTTCCACAGACACAAGACCCTCTCCTAACGATTGATTCTCCGCCATTTCGACGATAGCTTCCATGGTATTTCATAGAGATTAGTTAATAGCCTTTCACGGCACTCGGCTACACACACTTGAACCACATCGGACCGGAAAATTTTATTTCGTTTAACTCACGGAATAGAGAGAGTTCCGACCGAAGGAGAACATTTTCCCGACTTTGAACATACTTGCGTCGTCGACTACTGCACAGCCAACATCGGATCAATACTGAGGGCATGAAACCGAGTATAGAGCGCTCTTCCGTAACATAGGTATCCGTAACACTCACTACGATATCAGGCTCAACCTCTCGCCTCCTCTCACTACGCTCCGTGAATATTTACTGGCATATGTCCGCTAGAAGAGCAGCTGCATTCGTCCCCCCTTTCCAATCGCCTCACGTTACCCCATCCGCACACCCGACATCCCGGAGTCCTCCGCTCTCTTAAACACTTTTACAACCAGTCTCTACTACACTGTTTACCAAGTTCATTCCTGGCCTACTCCACCAAATCGATGCACGGCTCAATATCACTTGTTCAAGGCTAAAGCAATCAATAGCAAACTCAGTTTAGACCGCGACCTAAACAAACACACTTCACAGTTTAACACCCGTCCGTATTCTACACCGGTATTCATACAGAAAATAGTGTTTTTACCCCGGCCACCTCCTGTTTACTCCTGATTGTGCTTGCTTTGCCCTCTCATTGCATACTGGAACTCGGTCTTGTCACTCCCGCCTCCCAGTTCTTTACAGACTCCCTCCCGTTACGTCACAACACAACACAACACAGTCATAACCCTCTCTTCCCTCTCGCTCATCCTTTTCCCCCGAACAACGGCTTACAACACAACCCTCCCGATTTTCACCCTCGGCTATTATTAAAAACAATATAATTATTGACGTTCAACGCGTGTAGAATGTTTCCGACGATGAGTTTTCACATCAGGCATCTTGGTTTTTCAGGGTGGAAAAGTGTCGTCTCGACTGTTTCCAAGATGTTTTCACCTTCCTGCCATCAAATTCTCGTTGCCGTAAGTTCAGGAGTCCCTCCCTATTAATTCAACGGCAAGTATTTTCGATAATTTTGCTCTAAGGTTTTTTATTTTTTATTTCACAATTCAATCTCTTTTGTTTATTTCGAAGAAAATGTACATACTTTGAATTGAGAGATATGTTAAAATTCAGGTTTCAAATTATCTCACTCGGAGCTTGAAACCTCAAACTAGTATTGGAAATGGTCTTTCCTTAATTAATAATATAATTCTCGAGTTTTTCTTTTACACTCCCAGTTTCGAATGCAGAAGATTTTTGTTTCAAATAGAGTAAAATAGTTTCATGCAGCGAAACAAGTCCAAAAATTTAAGCTAACATTTTCATGTCTTTAAGCAATTTTTTTAACCTTTTTTTTACTTTACTTCGATAAAATGGTTATTTCAAAAATGGTTACCCAATTTTGTGTCAAACAGAATAAACTTTCACTGGAACGTATAAACGTGACCCATTTGTCATTTTTAAAATTTACTACCGAGAATTAGACTAAAACAGGTTATTTTGCCTTGAATTTCCTTAAATACAACGTCCTTTTTTGTTAATTTTTGCCACTTACTTTTCCACAAAACGTTGATAGCCAACTTTTTTTGTCTTCCACCAGTTTGGCTGAAATACTTATTCAAATATTTGTCATTTTCGTGTATTCAAAGTTGGGATTGTCAAACACATATAACTTGAGCATAATAGACAGTCTACAACTACCCCTAGTGAGACATTTATCCAGCCCCCTTTGTCCAAATGTCTTCAGAAAACGATCACAGAAATTTTGTTATTGTTTCGTTGTGAATTGAATAGTTATATTTTCAAAACATCTCTTCAATTATTTTATTAGTATTCATTCGCCACTGTTTATCTGTTATAATATTTATTTAACTAGATAATCATATTCCAATTATTTTATATTTATTATTATCCTTTTATTCTGATAATTACAAATAAAAGATAAAACCACATATTTTCCAAATTTTAATTATAGTACTTGAACTATAGACTTTTTTGTAAAACACTTCTGTATGTTTATTTTCACATCTCCTGCCTTCTTCCAAACAGCACTATTTCATCAATCAATTTTTGAAAATTAATTTTACCCTAAGTGTTGTAAAATACCCTCTAGAAATACTTACCCTCTCCGAAAAGATCATTATTTTTTCTAATATTAATTTTTGATTCTAATGTAAATCACATTTAACCAAAGTGTAATGTACAATTATGTAATACAAATGTATCATTTATTTTTACCCAAACCTCTTAAATTAAAAAAACAACACATATACTGTTTTTTTATATCTATTTAATAACGACAATAAAGTTATATTTACACAAAAAAAACTCTTTCTTATTGTACTGTTGCCATTCATTAACCATTATTCAGCAGTTATAATAATGATAAATATACTTAAATAATGAAATGTGCATAATTAGTTTAGTCATTCATTCTTCTCGTCCTTTTATTTTGATAAATGTAAAAAAAAATAAAGATATTATCTACAGTTTTAAATTATTTAGACGGTCAGTACTAATAATGAATTAATTTTATTATTCCAAGTTGACTGTCTTGAATTGAGGCTTCATAAATCATACAAAAACTCTATTTTAAATAATTTTATTATATGTGTATACAGTAATGACAATAAAGTTCTTTTTACAAAATAAATCGTGTTTGGTTCTTCTATTACAACCCAATCCCCTAATATCTATCAGTTATTATTTTTAATTAAATAGATAAGTATGTTCATGTATTGTAACAAACGTAATATAAATGATAAACCCACATGTAGTGTGCATAAAGTTTTAACTTTAAATAACTTTTTGTAATGAACCTCTGGCTGCTACTATTTCTACTTTCTATTTCCCAACAGCTTAATAGTAAAATACACGCTGAAATTACATCCCTTAAAAAAATTATTCTTAAAAAATTACATTATTCAAAGTTAATAATGTAAAATACATTCCAGTGTAGTAAATAACAACTACCTATGTAATGATAACGTATATATTCTTCTTTATCCAAATGGTTTAAGTTTAGAAACTAAAATATCACTGACTTACGTTCATGTGAATAATAATTTTATATTAAAAACTCAGGGATAAAGCAAAAATAAGTTTGTAATACAAAATTGTAATATTGAATGCTGATACGAATTACATCGGGATAATTTATTATGAATAATAAAAACTATTTTTAGTTGGCTCACTACAATCCATTTACCATTACTTATTATTTAATTATGTATTCAGTTATTATATTATCATCTTATAATTCATTATTAATAAACTGTATATAATTATTACCTTATAATTCATTATGTTATCATAAAGGAATTAGTAATTTTTATTTTGATAAATATAAAATAAAAAAGCGACAGACCTTTTGTAATGTACATCAGGCTGTTATAATATTTCTATTTCTTATGTACTTGTCAATAGTTTTATTTCATCAGTAAATATTTCAAAGTGTTCAAATTTATTATATTTGTTTGTAATGGTAATTAAATAAATTCACGCTAAAAATTCACCCCACGCTTAAAAAACAAACATTATTTATCCCTAAAAAATTTAAAACTTACTACTGCAATTTAATATAAATTTACCAATCCTCTTTAACAAATGTCTGAGTTTCAGTAAATTATCACTCCTATTATTGTGAGATTTGTCCCTGTGTTTCTGCGAAGTGATGAACATGAAGGTGTTTATTTAAAATAAAAAAATATGATTTTTCAACGATCCTGAGTCATTTGCAAGAAAATGTATTTTATTTCTGGAAAAATATCTATATTCATCGATTGTTTATCCAGTATTGTTTATATATTTTCAAGTTTTCTCATTTCTGTACGTCGTGTCGTAGTTTCATGCTAGTCAGTCAGTATTGTTGAGGGATCGTAATGGTTTTCTATAAACCTCGTAATTTGATTTTCCGTTATTGCCCCTAAACGACTTTATTGTTGTTTGTATCTGTCTTTTAGTTTTCCTCCTGTTTGTCCGATTCATTTGTCGCGGAATTAGCATGTTACGTTTGGTGTACTTGCCATTTTTCGTCAAGTGAGTGAAGGAAACGGGTCTGACCGACCGACCCAGAAGGACAGGCAGACCAAAAATGATCAGTAACGACCAAATCACATCTAGTTATTATAGTTTTGTTATGTATTGAATAATTGTTTATCAGTTATAATTATTATTAAGCAGATAATTATAATTAAAACGACATAAATTCACCCCCATTGAAATTAAAAGTAGAATTTAAAAAATCACTTGTGATCTTCTAAACTTTCTTTTCTACATTTCGAAGTAGATGATGGCAGCCCACAAAACCATTCTTTTTTCTGTATTTTTGAAGATAGTTGTGAATTTTAACTTCGTTTGCTCAAAACTTCTGATGAAGCTTGAAAAATATGATATTCGTGGCTGTGTCCTGGCTTGGTTCTTTTCATATCTCCAGGGACGGCAGTCAAAAACAGGTTCCCAGTGGCACTGTCAAATCGTCTCCAGCTTTTAGTACCGTGGGTGTTCCTCATGGCATTATACTTGGCCCACTCTTGTTTATATTTCATTCAAAATTCCTATGATATACATACAAACGATTCATTGCGATCGTGTTGTGGACATTATCATATCCTCTATTTTGAAGGGTTTTTGGAGGTTGATGCAAAAGACAATTCTTTCCTCCACTGAGTACTAAATAGGTCTATTGAGTAACTCCTATAGTTATAGCCATACCTTGGAAAGTGCGCCATTCCTTATAGGACTGAACATTTTCCTTGATGTCTCTTTGTACCGTAACGATTTACATTCGCATCCTCCCTTGAGAAGAAAAAAAAAGCTGCTCGAGACTTCTTGATGACGAACAGGCTTTCGATCGAGTTTGGCACCTGGGTTTACTCTGGAAACTCAAGCCCATCCTACCCTCTACACACTACCTCATCCTTAAATCTTACCTGGCCGACAGGTATTTAGAGTATGGGTCGGATCCTCACACTCTCCTTTGTAAAGGGCGAATGGGGAAGTCCCTAATGTTAGCGTCCTCGGCCCACTACTGTCTACCCGCTTCCCATCGCGTCATCAATATCCTAGATTAGATTAGATTATATAGGAGCCGGCCTCTTTTCGACTGTGCACCGCGACCAGTATTGGACTATTGTCCATCTCCTTTTTTTTTATTTAGAGCTCCTCGTTAAGCTTGAGTCTAGCGTTATTATCAACGTCCACATACGCTGATAACATGGCCATTTTATCCTCTAGTTCCGTCCCCGTAATAGCTCTCCGAACCCTCAGCCACACATATTTCATTAAACAATCGATCAAAAATGGCGAATCAAACTCAAAATCACAAAAATAACCTTCACCCTCCATCTCATCATTCTACCTCCAATTTATTATAACCTCACAACCTTTCCCAGCGAAAACATCATCCGCTACCTAGGGCTGTATCTAGACAAACGACTCACCTGGAATCCCCGTACAAAAGGATAGAACTGAACCGATGATACCGATTACTTAAAAGACTACTAGACAACAGATCTAAACTCTCCTTTGACAAAAAATACTCATATACAACTCAATACTGAAACCAATATGGACATATGGCATAGAACTATGTGGTTCAACCAAACCTTCCAATCTTCGCAGAATCCAGATCTTACAATCACGAATACTTCGATCCTTCGGCCTAAGTTTCTAACCACAGCCTAAATGTTTTATTTGTAAATTTAGTAATCCAGCTACAAAACATTCCACACTAACCTCCAATCCCATTCTAACACCCACGTTCAACTTCTTTCCTCTCCATCTCTTCCCAGCAAGCATCCTCCCCATTTTATACTCCAGAAAAGAACGGACCGCATCATACTTAGTTCTTATGGCTTCAACACGAGATACAATAGACACCTTCCTATATGAACGCTCTAGCTTCTATCCAATTACT